AGTGATTGAATGACTGTTTGATAATGCTTATTCATATTAGCAAAGCTTCATTGGTACTTACCTCAATATATTCAGCAATTCAGCAAAGCAACTTAATCATGCTAATAAAATGCACGCATGTAAATGATAATTTATGCATAGACCTAATCTATACGTTGCACGCACACATTCAAAATTCAAAAGCTAGTGTGCAAAATATTAAATGATTGTATTGTTAAAAGTAACACGATATTTTTGGTATTGACTAATAATTTAATAGTCTCTTCAGCTTTAACAATTTCTCTAGGGAGTATACCCACTTATATTATTATACTTATTATACTTTACTGATATCCAATGGGCTCCCAGAAATATCCCACCCTAGGATCCATGACTTGTCGTTTCGCCACTGGGATTGCCTCTCGGTGTACCGCCCAATTAATACTAAAATGTTGCAGAATCTTCTGCAAGATAACGAAGCAAAAAGAATTATTCTCCGGTTTGAAGCATTCAGGAAATTTATCCCAGTCATTGTAAATGTGAAGCACTTCGTGAAAAATGTTTTTTTGTGCATTCATTAACGCACAAGATGTCTAGATACACGACTTAATCTATAGATCGAATAGCCATTGTTTTCCGTTACTAAATCTTGACTCTATGGCAGCGTGTTGGACAGTTCACATCGAGCTCTTCCTTATAAAAATGGATCTTAATAGGGAGGATGTCTGTGTTTACATTAAGGATAGCTTTCTCACCATCATATATAAATCATCATCATCTAGCTGTGTCGCTCCACTGCTGGGGGAAAGCGTCTCCATTGAATTGCCATTCTTCTCTGTTCTGTGCACCTCTCCTCCATGTAATGCCTTTGAATTCTTCAATTTTTGCCTCTCCTCCTGACTCGATTCCTGATGCTATTTCCTCTTCTTTTATTTTATTTCTTTATTTCTTGTATTATGTCATTCACTCCTGTAGCCTTCCTTACAGCTTCATTTCAGACTCTATCCCTTCTTGTGATTCACATCATTGTACGTTCCATTGCTCTTTCTGTCACTTTCAAACTCTGCTCCATTCAATGTTTCTGCTGAATATGTCAAGACTGGTATAATACAGTGATTAAACATATTTTTTTTGAGTGAAAGTGGTAAATTTTTGTCACGAAATATATGAATCAAAGTTTTCCAAATTTTACCCATGCTAAATGGATTCTTCTCTTTACCTCTGCAGTAGTGTCATCCTCTATTCTTATCTTCTTGCCCAATTACACGTAACTGTCTACTTTCTCAATTATCTTTCCATCCAATGTTATGGTACTACCTGCTAATATATCTTTACTGAACATAACCTTTGTTTTACTGATGTTGATGTTTAGTCCAACTTTATTGCTTTCTTCGTTCAATTCCTCTAGCATTATCTGAACCTCCTCTGGATGGTGACAAAATAATAGGATGTCATCGGCAAAGCTGAGATTGTTTAGGTATTCACCATTCACCAATATTCTCTTATCATTCCAATCCAGATTTCTAAAGATGTTCTCCATTACTGCAGTAAACAGTTTTGGTGAGATTGGATCTCCCTGTCTTACTCCTTTGTTAAATATTTCTGTCGAACTGTTCATATCGATGTGTATTCTTTCTTGCACAAGCCTTTTTATACAGAGCGCTAATATATAAAACTGAATTTAAACTATTATAATTTTTAAGCTATACACAACAATGTCTATTCTTCCAAACACCAAGCTGTTTGTGGGTACTGCTTATCGCTTATAAAAAAAATATATTTTTTTTGCATTTTTTAAGGAAGTGTTAGACAAAATTAATCCTCAGCAAGACTAGTTTTAGGAGACTTAAACACCACCTTAAAATATAATCGTCATCCACTATACAATTCATGTTCTGATATTGTAAAGCATTATAACTTTACTATTAGATGTATTCTGATAAACAAACAACTTCTACATCAGCATCCATTCTAAACACATTCGCAGCAATACTGCATAAAAAAAACACAATCAGTAGAGTTTGAGATTTGCATAAGCGATCAAGTTCTAAAGACTGCATCAGAGGCAAGCGAAAAACTATGGACAATAAATATCGATAGCTATGACTATTCTCATAAAGTAACTTACTTTGCCATATAATTTTAATTAATCTACTATTACGTTTGAGCTTATGGGTAAATTGTAATTACATAGGTCGAAATAGCTAATGTAGATGCACGATTTACTTTTTAACCTATAATAGAGTATAACAAAAATACAACATGCATTTTTTCCCGGTAAAACAATGCATTCTACTTGTCTCGTTACTGTATGATAGGAATTGCTTCCAGACGCAAAACAGAGGGCAGTAGAATTCACTTCCTCACAGAGTTATTCCTCACAAATTTAGAAGCCATTTTGTGTCCAACGCGATACACGTTCTGTATCCAGCACGATGTGCGTTTCTGTGTATAATGTTGAATAATACAATTAGCGGCCTCCTGTAGTATTTAATTTAACTTTTTTTAGCAGTTTCATGTAACTATTTTAATAGATTTTTTTTAATGATTTCACTACTTTATATCCAATTTCATATTAACATATACTGTAATAATTTACTATTTTAAAGCTGTTCTTTAATTCTTGTAAATAGTCGGAGAGCCATCGATAGCACGCATTCTTTATCAATTAGCAATCCTGAAATATAGACCCTTTAAGTGGCTCCTATTATTTTGGCGAAATAAATGATATATGACGACCAGCAAAAAATTAATTAAATATGTCTATCAAAATTTAATCAATATTAATTGCTCTTTTGTTTTATTTTAGGTTACATCTATGTTGCTCATGTATTTAATTTGTGTTGGAAAAACGATAATAAAAAAACAACAAAATATCTAAGTATTTTTCCTAGAATTTTTTTCAAAGAGAAACAACAAGTGATTTTCGAGATCATAATCAAATAAATAAAGTATATCATACTAAAGGTTTATTTGCTCAAAATCACTCCTATTATCATTTTATATAGTAATAAACCTAAATATTGAAATAGTATTATGTCAAGTGGGCCGCATTATTTTCGTAAATTGAGAGTAGGTCTACACTATCACCGTCAGAATATTGATTAAAAAGTAAAGGCAATCCTTTGTCTTCTTAATCCATTGGTCTTGTCAATTCCGTATCATTTTTTCCTGCATACTTTATATCAAAATTAGTGCTGGCAGTCCAATAATTATCAGCCAGTATCAGTACTTTTAGCTTTGGCCGGCTTTACCGATTTCAAGATCCGTATATAGAGTATCCGGATTGTTGTTCTTTAAAATTGAATATGAGTAAGCCCACAAATGTTATATTACTAATTTGATTACTATTATTTGTAAATATTAAAATAGTATAGGTCAGTTGGCCGCAATATATAGGCCCTAAACTGATATTGTGTAGGCCAAAAGTAAAGAGCAAAACAGCTTTTTTGACAAAGGCAGGTCTTTTCAGTCATAGAATAGACGAACCTTTAACATTCTATTTATAATTTCTATGCAATTCGTATCAATTATCAAGCGCGCGTGAACACGCGCAAATATACAAATTTTAAAGATAAATTATAAATCACGCTTTTGATATTAAATATTTATCAATTAAGTAATAACATCATAAACACAATTAAAAGTGTGAAAATACTGTGTAATTTACCTAACTCGTATACTTTGCATGTGTTCATCGGGATCGATTTGGACACAAAAATGGACGGGTGTATACCATGTAATTTTTGCAAACCGAGAAGCAGAATGTCGCAACTGTTTATATATATGGCTTTGCTTCCTCATTGTATAGACATAATATATAAACGAAGACTTGTGTATGAGTTGTTTTTTAAAACTACAGAACTTACCGTCTTCCGTTACCTCCAAGTTGAAGGGATTACTGGTTTTGCCATCATTGTCTCTAAATTCATCACTTTCAGCTTTACACATATAGTTGCCACTATCATCTGGAGTTGAATCTGTAATGTATATTTCAAGTGCATCTTCACTTGTAATAAATCTAGTAGTGTCGGTGGTTATCCATGCTTGTCCATCTTTATACCATGTGATAGTAGGGTCAGGATAACCATCTGGCTTATTACAGTTCAAGGTTACCATTTTGCCTTCAGAGACACTGTTTGCTGAAGCTGTAAGTTCAGGATCATCTAGGTCTGTAAAAAGTCATGATTAACTTGTGTATTAATAATAGAAATAACTAATATTTAAAAAAAACTTACAATAATTTAAAATATTTATAATAATAATAAAATACGATAAACCCTTTAAAAAAATTGAAATTGATATTTTCTAAATACAACAATATATTTATCATTATTTAAAATTATAAAGGTTATCCTAAAGATTTATTAATTTTTGCAAAAAATGTAAAAATATTTATCATTGCTACTGTATTGCACATAAAACACGTTAGACATAAAATTAAATCAATCATAATTGGCTTATTGCACATTTAAAATGCCATCAAATTAGTCCGTTGAATCTCGTCATACGCTATTAGTAACATAAAGTTACCAGTTGTTGTAAATCCAAGAAAATGTAATAAATTCAAGGTCTGTTTGTTTGTCTTATGAAAGCTGAAGTGTTCTATTTTTAAATCATAGTTATATTATATATTTTTATACAAGCAGATGAACGAAAGAAAGCTCTTGGTTTTTAAACTTGTTTAAATAATTTTGATGTAGTTTGTTGCATCTTGTTGAGAATTCAGGAGGTTTCGAATACTTGTGTTAAATGACATACAGTAGCTTGTATTTTCATCCCTTAAAGTATAGTATTTTTGGCTGGGTAATTGTTAATCAAAAAATTGTAGATAAGTCTTTTTCTTGTTTAACGGGTCTAATTTGTATTAAGCTTTGATTTTTTAGTACTCGTCACTCATATTTTTTTGTATTGTATTCCTTGGAATTGAAGGGAATAAAACTGAATTGAATTGAATTGAATGATGAATATTTAATAAACATCAGCGCTATATAAATCCAGAATAATGCAGTCCACTCTTCTAATACCAACCCTCACTTATTGTTAAAGAGAAAAATGAAGTACTTTCTATTTGTTGTAAATGGCAGAAATGCTTTGTGTCATTACATTCTTTACATGGTATATCATTATGTATGTCCAGGGCAGAAGGGCCTTTCAGCTATGATAAACTCATCTTGTCACTCGTAGAGGGCGCCCGTACAATAAACATTACAACAATTAGCATAAAAAAACAATATTTTTTGGCGAGGGGTAGAAAAAATAATTTAGGAAGTAAATAATAACATATAAATACTTACATATCACTTTTAAGTCAATTTGATTACTGGTTTTGCCATCATTGCCTCTAAATGCATCACTTTCAGCTTTACATGTATAGGAGCCACTATCAAATCGAGTTATAGTTTTAATGTGTATTTCAAGTGCATCTTCACTAATAGCAAATCTGCTGGCGTCTTCTGTGTCGAGAGCTTTTCCATTTTTATACCAAAAGTTAGAATTAGGGACAGGGTCACCATCAGGTTTACTACAGGTCAAATTCACTGCTTCACCTTCATAAACACTGCTTTGTGATGTGCGGAGAACAGGCTCTTCTAGGTCTTAAAATGAAAAAAAAAAAACAAAAAACAAACAAAACTTCCAAGGACCTGTTACATTTTTTCATACACGGTTATCCCCTATAAATAATAAGGCCTACCAATGAAAACAAGTTTTTTGGTTGTCATATATTCAGAATATTTATCATCAGAAAAGTAAGATATAAACTAATATAAACTACGGTTTAATACCCGCTGTCAGAAGACCTATCAGAAGGCAGCAGCTTAACATAGTGGGAAATTGTTAACTCGGGTTAGCAAAAAAGTTCAACCAACATTTCCATCCTTGTATATACTGATATTGCCCATGTTACATTTAAAGGGAAAGCAGATATAATTTGCATGACATTTTAGTTAAATGTCATCTGAACAATTCTGAGGAGTATACAATATTTTTCACAGTTAACTGCTTTGTCAATACGTAATATCACATTTAAAATTATGTATTTTCCTATGCAAAATACCAATTTATCATAAACGTTATTGTTGAAAAATAACTTGCACAATTTGAAGTAACATGAATATTAAAAACTTAAACATAGAAATTAGTTTATTTAAAAAAATCGTTTACACATAATTTTACAGCAATTCGAGTCAATGTAAATGTTTTTATATTTATCCAGTTTAAAAATCAGGGTATACATTTCAATTCAATAATTCCTACACTGTAAAAAATGTCAGTAATTTTACGTTTACCGTAATTAAATTTCCTGTAAAAATAAGGGTCACTACTGTGTGATTGTATTTTTACGGTATTTTTTATATTAAAAAAATATATACGATAGATTGGTGTTTTGCTTTAAATTTCCGGTATCATATCGTTTTTCTACAGGTTAAAAATCGTCCGTGTATTTCGAAGGAGTTTTTATGTAAATATACGGTGAATTCGTAAATTCAATGTGTTTGGCGGTTAAATTACGTCGTCATATTACTGTTTTCCGCAATTTAACAGGTCAAAATCAACATTTACGTTAATTAACGTTGGAGTTCGTAATGTTCATTTATAAACTGGCGTAATTTTACAGTACAAAATATTGTTTTAACAAGTACTATGAATTTTAACGGTATTTTTGTATAACAATGATGAAACTGTGAACTCACACTTCGCGATGTTAAATAACGGTTCATCTTCACGGGTAAAATTAACATTTTTCCGTAATTTTACGTTCGCCGTTGTAATCCTACTATTAGCAAAAAGGTGTCTGTTATTTTACGTTTACTGAAATCCAATTTACTGTGAAAATAACGTTAACTACTTTAAAATTGTATTTGAACGGTATTTTTTGTAGCCTAAATTACCGGTATCATATCGTTTTTCTACAGGTTAAAATCGCCATTGTGTTTAAACGTCAGAGCTCGAAATTTAAACTACAAATTGGTGTAAATTTACCTACCTAAACCGTTAAGTATTGTACAGTATTAATAAAGAAAAGGAATAACGGTGTATTTTTGTAACAAAGATGATATTATGAATTAAACGCTGACATTATTCTGCTAATGTCATTTCACCTACAGTATTAAATTGGCGTGTCAATTATTTAGAAATTCCTTGACAATTATATATTTTTAAACATTGTTATTAATATATACGTTCCCTAACGTAAAATTAAAGTGAAATCCATATATTTGGCGCGCTTACGATCACGTGGCATCTCAGTTTATGACGTAGAAGTGGTTGGCGCATCGGTTGTGGTTTGGACTCCCAATCTCGAGGTCGGGGGTTCTAAACTCCCGTTGTGCAAGTCGCTTGTGTCCTTGGGCAAGGCACTTTATCTACGGTTGTCTCTCTCCACCCAGGAGTACAAGTGGGTACCTGGTGCGAGGTTCAAACACAGCCTGCACTGAATACAGCTGCAACATTATGGAATTCCCCTATGGGGCTTGAGTGTGTGTTCCATATGTGCTTAATCCAGTGATCCGGGGGTAATAATGTTCAAGCGCTTCGAGGTTGTGTCAACGGGAGGCGCTATATAAATCCGTTTTCCGACAAAAAAACAAAACACGAAACTTAAGTACATCATTAATCGATTCCTCGGCCTCAAACCTACAGGGGTAATAGACTGACACCAAACTCATCTTCGTATCATTTATGATTAGGATAAAGAAGTTATATTATTTTGAATTGTTTCACATCTGTTAACTTTTGAATTTCTTTTTCCCACACTCTCTCAATTTCGTTTATTGGCCTGCCCTGTTCCTTTTTTGGACCAATTTTAAAAAATATAGGTGTCAAAATACTGAAGACAATACTTTTTCATTAAGATAATTATGTACATTTGATATAATTCACCCATTTATAGCCCACAAATAATAACTAGATTTGCAATCCCATAAACCGAATTCGAAAGAAAAATTTTCTACATTGTTGCAATGTTAGAGAAGTGAAGTGAAAATACCTAATAAATTGAGCTTTTTCAGTGAAACTTAATATCTTCCAGTTGTCACCTTTTAGATTTTATAGACTAAAATTATAAAATATCTTCCAGTTGTCACTTTTTTGATTTTAAAGACTAAAATTATAAGATAAGGGAAGCAAAATTACACTTTCATTCAAAATTGTCACAACTTTTTGTATGTAAAAATGAAATCTGAACACTGTTTTAACATAATAAATATTCATAGATGTATGTCA